CCCCCCCCCCCCCCCATAATCGCACTTAGCCCTTCCCCAAACGAAGGGGCTGTGCAGACTCCAACGGGAGTCATCAGAAAACTTAGCCTTACAGCCAAATGGCACCACACCGCAAAAACCCTAAAACACCTTCTTGTGTCAGGTGACTCCCACCGAACCAGCAAAATAAAAAGATTTAAAATATATAATAGGCACTAATCTGGGAGAACAAGAACTCTTACACTAATTATAATTCAAAACATTAAATCCTTAATTGTAAACAAAACACACAAATTATAATTCTAAACGTTAAATCCCTAATTGTAAGAAAAACACACTAATTATAATTCTAAACATTAATTCCCTAATTGTAAACAAAACACACTAATTATAGTTCTAAACATTAAATCCCTAGTTGTAAACAAAACACACTAATTATAATTCTAAACATTAAATCCCTAATTGTAAACAAAACACACTAATTATAATTCTAAACATTAAATCCTTAATTGTAAACAAAACATACTAATTATAATTCAGAACATTAAACCCCTGAATGTAAACAAATAAGTCCGTGAGTGTAGACAGAACACTTTGATTACATTTTCAAACCTGAATAATAATAATGACTAATAATATGACATTCCTGAGTGTGAGATCGATCATATTAATTGTAATGCTCATTTTGTAATCGACTCAATGTAAATCTTCGCCTCCTCAGCAGAGGTAAACACCCGCGTGTTACCCTCAAACGTGATCTTCAGCCGGGCCGGGTGGAGCAGGCCGAACCGAACCCCCTCGATGTCCCGCAGCTTGCGACGACATTCCGTGAAGGCCGCTCGCGCCCGGGCCGTTTTGGCAGTGTAGTCAGGGAAAACGAAGATATTCGTACCGTTCACTTTGACCCGCTGCAACTCCCTCGCCTTCGCCAGGATTTTCACACAGTCCGCTTGGTAGTGAAACTTGGCTACAATCGGACGGGCCCGCTCGCCTGCTTTCGGTTTGGGGGCTGGGATGCGATGAGCGCGGTCCAGCAGCGGTTCCTCCTCGAGGTCGAAGGCCTCCTTTAGCATCCGAGATACCGCAGCCGTTGTCGCCGCTGATGGGTCATCCTCCGGAACACCAATGATGCGGATGTTCTGACGTCGAGACCGGGACTCCAGGTCATCGCACTTATCCTCCAACTGTGCCACCGTCTTAGTAAGGACGTCAACTGTTTTCTGGAGGCTCACGATGTCGTCAGTGCAGGTGGAGACGGACTTCTCCACCTCTGTTACCGTTAGCTTTAGCCCCGTGAAGCTCTCCTGCACCGCTGCTAGCCCAGACGATAGCTCCTTTTTGAAGGCGGACAGCTCGGCATTAATCGACGAGAGACTTTCACCCAGAACAGCATGGAATTCTGCTTTAATTATAGCAGCAAGGTCCTCTCGGAGAGCTACAAGTATTTCTTGCTTAAGGCTGCTGACGTCGCCCTCAGACGGAGGAGGTGATCCAGGACAGCTCGAGGCTTCACTACGAGGATTAGGCCGCAGGTGAGCGTGGATCGAACTTACCCCTTTAGTCGGTTTTGGTGGCATTTTAATGGCCAAATAGGAGGGTTATGTAAAGTGTGTAAGTTAGCTATTGTTTGCTGTCGGACTCGGGAAAAAGTGCCCAGGCATTAATCAGAGAAAAGGCTAATTCTGTAGGAGCACACCCAAACACACCTTATCTCACCGCCATTCAGCCGGAAGTCCAGCTATGTCTACTTTTAATTGAAGTTCTCTGTTGGTCAGTTTCAGGTGTTTCACAACATTCACATAGAAAAACCAGTTTGTAAAGTTCTCTAAGGAAACAAACTCTCAAAAAGAAAATTTGAGAAAAGTTCTTCAACATTTTCTATCTGTGATGTGCGGAAATACATCCGTCTGTCTGTCCGTCTGTCTCTCAGGTGTACGAGGGGCTTCGGTACCGCCTCTCTCTGGACTTCCCTTCGGGGTACCCGTACCAGGCTCCCCGGGTGAAGTTCGTCACTCCGTGTTTCCATCCCAACGTAGACGACCAGGGCTTAATCTGCCTGGACATCCTGAAGGACAAGTGGTCCGCTCTGCTGGACGTCCGCTCTGTCCTCTTGTCCATCCAGAGCCTGCTGGGAGGTACCAGAACCAGAAGCAACAGTTTACTGGTTGCCAACGGAACCGTTTTGACTCAGAACGTCTCAAAGTGTCTATTTCCACAGAACCAAACAACGAGAGTCCCCTGAACACGGCCGCAGCAGAACTGTGGAACAACCAGGAGGGTAAGAACCCGAACCACAAACTCCAGGGGCCTGATGGGAGATGTAGTTTGGAGCGGGGCCTGATGGGAGATGTAGTTTGGAGCAGGGCCTGATGTAGTTTGGAACAGGGCATGATGGGAGCTGTAGTTTGGAGCGGGGCCTGATGGGAGATGTAGTTTGGAGCGGGGCCTGATGTAGTTTGGAACAGGGCATGATGGGAGCTGTAGTTTGGAGCAGGGCCTGATGGGAGCTGTAGTTCTAACTCTGGTTTCTCTTGCAGCGTACAGAACTCACCTTCGTTCCACCTTCCAGAAGTGAAGCAGCTCCTCGTTTCTTCTTCTGTTCGTCTTTTTTCTGTTTGTAAAATATTTTTATGTTTCGTTTTGTCAATAAAGTTTTTAATTTAACACGGTGATATTTCAGGTCTGGGTCTTCAGCAGCTGTTCCTGGAATAGCTGCTTCTTGTTTTATATGTAACATTTATTAAACGCGTTTATCACGAGAGACGTCGGTGACATTTTTGACTGTTCTTCAGTTACATAGTTAAGAGTGAGAAAATGCCTGTCCTGTGCCCATTTTGAAGAACAAGGGTGATGCACAGAGTCGTATCGACTACAGGAGATTTAAGTCGATGAGACACATGAAGATCTGGGACGGAGTTGTGAAAGCTAGACGAGACGTGACTGAGAGCAACGTTATGGATTCCTGCTGAGAAAGAGTACCACAGATGCCATCTTTGTCCATGTGTGTGTGAAGGAGACGTGAGGCTAAAAGGAGCAGAGGTCAAAGGTGCAGGACTTCAAGTACTTTGCGTCCACTGTCCAGGAAAATGGAGAGTGGTAACGAGGTGGGAGAGAGTCCAGGCAGGATGGAGAAAAGTTTCAGGAGTGATTTGTGACAAAAGCGTGTCAGCAAAGGTCAAAGGAAAAGTTTAAAGACGGTGGTGAGACCAGTTACGTTGTATGGTCTGAAGACCGAGACATGGACAAAAAGACAGGAGACAGAACTGGAAGTGGCAGAAACAAAGATGTTTAGGTTCTTAGGAGACACGAGGATGGATAAGAATGAGATCATCAGAGGTACAGCGCAGGTTGAACAACTGGGAGATAAAGTTAGAGACACTGAGATGGTTTGGACATGTCCTGAGGAGGGACAGTGGTTTGGACATGTCCAGAGGAGGGACAGAGTGAGATTGAGGAGGACTCTGGAGACTCGGCAGTTCAGCTACACAGGGATGAGTGGTGTCCACAGGCAGATCTTCACTCTCTTACTGTAAAACATTCCTGGACCAGATGCAGCGGCCATTTTGAATTTCAACTGATCTGCATCTTTTCAAAACATTGATGTTTCAAAATGCGGAGCTTGAATGACCGTTTGAAAAATTCCCTGTTCCCTGCAACAATTAAAGAACTGGACTGACACCTTGACTTCGAGACAGGATTTATTAAGTCTGCACCACCGACTTCCTGTTGGTACCAACATGTCGTTCTTCAGCTCGTCTGGATGGGTCTATCCGACGCAGGTGAGTCCGCAGCAGGCAGACGTGTTGTCGTTGGAGACCACCTCCATCAAGTCCTCAAGGCTATCATCTGGATCATGGAGCTCACTGTGAGCCTCGGTCCACGCCGGCTGGGTCGCCTCCACTGACCAGAATGCCACAGGAACCTGCAGAACCCATTCATGCTCATCAAAATACATGACACATGGTTAAAGTTTCTAACAGGAGGATGTTCTGACTCACCTTCAGCTGCATCTCACCCAGCATGGCCTCTAGTACTGCAATGTGATTGGCCAGATCAGCACTTGGACCCTCCTCCAATGTGAGCCAAGGCACCTGGACCAGAACCACCCGAGCTGCAATGCCCATCAGACCATCGATACATCCTGATAGGACAGAGAAAGACAAACAAGGACAATGTTTCTCTTTAAGGTAGAAGGAACCCTTTGCAATGACATTTCACATCAGAGCTAGTTCTGAAGGAGAATCCAAGAAGATCCCAAAGTTCTCCAGATGTTACTAAGAACCTTAAAGAACCTTCAGGAAAGTAGAGTTCAATTCTTGGCTTCAATGATTATTTAGAAAAGTTCCAGATACATCTGGGGGTCTTAGGAAAGGTTCCTGATTCACAGTGAGGTTCCGGGGATGCCTAAAGAGCGTTTGTTATCCAAACTGTGTTTAGGATCAGGGCTGGACCAGACCTGGTCCAAACCTCCTACTAGGGTTACTGTTTCTCCTGAATTGTTTTGGTTTGACAAAAATATCACCCTGGTTCTTAAACCAAGACCAGTTAGTTCTCAGGCAGGGTACTGGAACCACAACACAGAACCCTAAAGGTCTGAACTGAAAGACCTGTGGGAGAAATGTATATCAGCCAATCACAGAGCTCCCACAGGTAGGAGGGCGGAGCCAGCAACTCACCTGTGTTGACCAGAGAACGCCTGTTTGAACGCTGAGTTAGAGGAAACTGTCTAATCAGATCGTTGGCCTTTCTGAGGTCAGACAGGAAGTACTCCACCGCCGACAAGAAGAGGACCCAGAGACGCTCTGCAACCTGTCTGTCCTCTACACCTGAGTGGGCGGAGTTACAGTCTGACAGCAGGGATAGCAGGCGGCGAGACAGACCTGCAGAAAGACAGCTTAAGAGATGGACAGACAGGCAGATAATAGACAGATGACAGGTGAGAGACAGACAGGTGTTACCGGTGCATATCCTGTGAGCCAGAGCTCTCGTCTCGTCCAGTTCTTCTCGCAGGAAGCTGCCGTCAGCCGAGCTTCCGAGCGACGCCACCAACTGTTGGAAACAGGAAGTGACTCGACTTAGAGCGCCCTGAGCGCGCTCACACTCCAACAGCTGTCTCCGCCCCGCTGCCAGCTCATCCACTGAACGACGCCATCGACTCATGATGTCATCACCCACCTGATGGGAGCAGGAGGGGAAATTGCTCTGATCAATCACAGCTCAGCAACTTTCATCACCTGTGTGATGTCATCGGACACACGGGCTGTGTTCCAAACCCTCACTCTGTAATTCCTGAATACTGAGAAACAGGACAACCAGCTTAAAAGAAGTGGATCTGTGCATCCCTAAAAAGAACCAGTTGAAGAGAACCAGCTGAAGAGAACCTGATGTGAAGGATAAGAAACATCTGGAACAGTTATTATTCTTTATGTGGAAAATTTAACAGAGCAAAAACATCTGAAAAACATTTTGAAGACCAGACTGCAGAAATTCAGAGAACAATCTGAGAACATCAGAACATTTTTTTTACCTGGATGAAGATAACGTAACTAAGGTCGGGAGGAATCGCTGCTGATCTCGACTCCGTCCACCTTCTTCTTCTCTGGTGGAGGACTGAGCAGTAGGCAGGTTTCTATCAACACTCTTGTTCTGCTGTTCTCAGGAGAACGTCTGCACTTTTAATTAAAGGGAGAACAGCTGAGTCCTGAGTCCTCTCAAGTCCCAGGAGGCTCCGCCTTCCAGGTAGACTTCTCTGTTAGGGTTTACCTGTGCAGGTGGAGCTTGGTGTTGATCTGATCTTTTCCATCCAGGAGATGAAGTTTAAAATCATATGAATAACATCAACAGGTGTTCCAGATCAGACCAGAACAGGTCCAACCCCATTCAGGCCTGAAAATGTTCTACCTGGAACAGAACCAGACGAGGCCTCAATCTATTCAGAACTTTTCTTGTCGTTGTGCGACGACAGCCTTCATTTCTCAACCTTCTTTGGACAGAAGGGCGGAGCTACAAACACGTCAGGAAGTTCTGATTTGATATCAGGATTCAGAAGGACCCGCTAAAGTGAGTCAAATCAGAAATCCAGAACCCTAAAAACGCTCTTTAGAGCCACATCTGAGAACGTCACATAAAACAAATACTAATCCAGAACAAACTGACCCGATCAGAATTTGTTCAGGAGAAGTTGTGGAGAGAAGACTTCTGGACTTGTCTTCACATTTTTTGAGAGGGGAGAAAAAGAAAGACCCCGATGACCTTCAGGAATGAGGGGGACAAAGACCCTGATGACCCTCAGGAGGGAGGGGGACAAAGACTCTGATGACCCTCAGGAAGGAGGGGGACAAAGACCCTGATGACCCTCAGGAGGCATGGGGGCAAAGACCCTGATGACCCTCGAGAGAGGGGGACAAAAACCCTGATGACCCTCAGGAAGGAGGTGTGTGTGTGGGGTGGGGGGGGGGGGGGGATAAAGACCCTGATAATACTCAGGAGGGAGGGGAGGGAGATTTTTTTCATTCATTCAACCTTTATTTAAACAGATAAATCACATTGAGCCTCGAAGACTCATTTACAAGTGAGACCTGTTTGGACAGACATAAACAGTGGGCACGTGGGAGTTGGAGGCGAAAAAAATTCCTATCAGACTTTTTTTTTTTTGCCTGAGAAAAAAAACCCCTCTAACATTAAAAAAACATCTCGCACAAACAAGCACATATTTACGTAGATATTCTGCAATCAGAGACGAGAGCGGTCAACAACGCTTACAGATGCTCTCGAGGTCACTGTAATCAGTCAATGTCCTCCGGTGAGATCCATAAACATTCTCAAGGTATGTCGAGGAATGGCCAAGAATAAAGTCTATGAGAATCCAAAAGTCCTGAAATGATGACACAAAGTTTATTCAGCTGGTTTCATCTGGTTATCAGTTGGAAATTCCTCAGGGAGGGGGTGGTGAGCGTCAGATCACATTTTCTCCAGGCGAATTCAGATAAGATGGCCTTCAAGACCAGCCAAGGGAGCCAAATTCAGATAAACACACAATTGTTTTGGGGACAGGCAGAAGTTAATGACATCTACCTTGAGTCTGTGTTGGTCCACTCGGTTCCGAAATGTCCAAATTAACATGGCCACACCGATGGAACGTGACTGAGTAAAATCCCCAAGACCTGATCCATTCAGCCCAAAGCATTTGAGTCTGGGTACTCGAGACACGAACCAAGTCATCAAAAAGGCAAGCAGCGTGATCGGGTCCAAATTTGCTGCCGATGACTTCCTTGATTGTAGATAAAACCAGCACCAGCTGAATCCAAAAAGCAGGAACCAGTTATCGAAAATCCAATTAAATATGCGTCCTTAGAATCCACAGATGGCAGCAGAGATAGACACATCATCAAGTCTTCCAAGTTGATGAGATATCCAGCTGCGTGCCAACAGGGCAAATTGGCTCGCCTAAAGCCCATCTTCTCTTCGAAGAAACGTTGTAAATTGAGTTGAGGGACCAACTGGTCAAAACAAGTCCATAATTATGATTTGGAAGAAATGCAAGAGGGGAGGGAGATTATTTTGCAGGTGAGGTGAACATAAGTTTCTTACACAATTTAAAACTTCTTCCCTCTTCAGCCTTTTAATTGAGAAAAGTCTTCCTCCACAGAGTAGAAGTCTAGTTTTTCTTTTTGTTTTTTTTTACCATTTTAGAAATATTTTCCATGTGGAAGAAAGCAGAACTGGTAACATGGTATTATGTGTGATAGATATTTATTTAAGTAAAATAGGGATTTCTCTGAGGGCATATGTCACGATATACAGCAGCACGAGGTAATGATTTCCACATGTAAACAGTGACTAACAAAGGTTTTCTCAAGATGGCTGCCCAAACTCTCCACGAGCTCCATATTTACAGATGGAATGTTTTGTGTATTTACATCTGAATAAAATCAAAGATAATTCACAGCCTGTCTGTCTGCACACACAGCCTGTCTGTCTGCACACACAGCCTATCTGTCAGATCAGAGTCCAGACCAACAAATCCTCCTGGAGGTGAGCGTTGATGATCAGAACACGACCTCCGGCTGCACAGATCAAGAAACATGTTGAAGTACCGTGAAGCAGGTCAACATCTAATCCAGCTCTGTCTGAGGCCAGGTCCATCTCAGGTCTCTCTTGTAAATGAGTCGAGGCTCAATGGGACTAACCTGTATAAATAAAGGTTGAATGGAAATCTCCATGGTAACAGAGGCTAATCCAAGACCGTGGTCCATGTGAGGAGGTTGGTGTCTGATGAACCTGGAGGAAGTTCAGCTTTTTCACTGACTCTCCTTAAATCAGACCATGTTTACATTTGATACTGTTGTTTACATCAGAACCACCAGGCTAGAACCAGTTGTTTACATCAGAACCACCAGGCTAGAACCGGTTGTTTACATCAGAACCACCAGGTTAGAACCGGTTGTGTCTTGGTGAAGTTTTATTTTGGTGAGCTGACTAACAGGAAGAAGAGGAGCACAGTTTTGCTGAACATGTTTTTAAAGTACAGCACTCGGGTCCTTGTCTGATTGGCTGTTTGACAAAAAGGACATGCTGGTGCTCAGAAGGGGAGGGGCCTGTGTGATGTCACAGCCTAAACGTTCAATATTCAGGTGGGTTTATGTTTCTGGTTTGAGTTTTCTGTCTGTTGTTCTGTTGCTCTGTTGTTTTGATGCTCAGGATCTGGTGTTGATGGAGATACATTGTTGGTTGTCGTTGCCATGGCAGCGTGTCATCCTGTTGTTGTTTCCATGGCAGCAGACTGTCTTTTTGTTGCCGTGGAAGTGGATCCTCCTGCTGTCAACAGAGCAGCGGGTTGTCTTGCTGCTGTCAGGGCAGCCTGCTTGTAGTCAGGACCTCCCTTACCTCGTGGCACATGCACTGACAGAAGCCATAAAGAACGAGTAGCAGCAGTGTGCACGGAACCAGACTGACGAGGACGACGCCCATCCACAGCTGGCCGATCATCAGTAGGTAGATCCCCAGAGGCAGCGAGCTGAAGTACACCTGGAAAGAAACAGCAGCTGGTAAACAGCACCTGCACAGATTTACCTGGAGTCAGCGCCAAATCATCTGTGCACCTAAAGCTCAAGGACGAGACTCTGCTGGACGGAGGAGGAGGAAGAGGAGGAGGAGGAGGAGGAGGAGGAGGAGGAGGAGGAGGTCTCACTCTTCAGCTTTCTGAAACTTACAGTGCAGCAATAGGACTGATCTCCAGTTTCATGCAGATGACCAAAACATTGTAGTTCTGTCAGATGTTCTTTTGTTCTGTCAGACGTTCTGTTGTTCTGTCAGATGTTCTGTTGTTCTATCAGATGTTCTGTTGTTCTATCAGATGTTCTGTTGTTCTGTCAGATG